CCAAGTGTATTTATTTTTTCTTATATCTAGCTAGATATAATATATAATAGGATATCCAGTAAACCCTTTTTTGTTTTGTTTAGTTTTTTCCATTTCAATTTAATCTCTGTTTATATTAGTTATTAAGATAAGTTGTATTATTGTCCTTTTTCTGTTCGGTTTAAATGCATGTCGTGTCTACATCTAGAAGAATGCACTTTTGTGTTTGGAATAATTGGAAGCTTATATAAACTTATGTAAATGTATTGAATTTTATAGACCAAGTAAAGAAAGAAAAAACTCGTTATGTCATCAGATTATACATTCACCGTCACTTGGCATGGCACATCTTGCTCTATAAAAATAAAGAACGTCTGAAAAACCCGTTTGAAATTCCCATGCATCGTCGAATGAAGGTTAGAAGTGAAATCTGCATTAGGAGTAATTGGGTTAATGTTATGCACCCTCGTGAATACAATTCCCACAAATGTACATTCAATGTGTAACGGTCTTTGGGCGAGGGAAGTTTTGGTTATTTCATTTCGTTTCGGTACTCTTTGACATATTTGTATTTTTCTAGTTCTTAGTGATATTTTTTAATTGCGTATTTTAAAGGTATATTCAGTTCTTTTTGCGCAGATCGAATCAAAACTAACATCTTATGACCATGCCCTCATCAGCGTTTTCTATTAGTCTGGAGTTATGTTAAAAGTGATGATTGTATCATAAAAAAATTATATTGTTTTATTTTAACGACTGTAATAAATACTAATATTTCAATAATACGACTAACTAGCGGAGTTGCTAGTCACAATTTATTACTAGACGTTGAACATATTCAACGTCTAGTAATAAATGTCTTGATATATATCAAGAGACCATTAGGCGCACTAACCTGCTGTTAAATTATTTAAAACAGCCAGTGTTTAAGAAGGTCTAAATTTGTTTCTCCTCTAATAAGATCAGATCAAACTTTGTTTCAGAGCACGTGTAAATTAATAGGTACGTTCCTTTATTTTTATACAGATAAAATATAAAACATATTTATTGTAAATATTTAGGATCAGGGTAAAATAACTGGCCTTAATTTTGATCGGTCCACAACTTGGGTTCTAATTGTGTAATTAGATGCTTATATTGACATAATTTCCTACATAGAAAGCCAGCGTTGACTTATCAACCACTTAATTTCCACGCGGTTTTTGCGTCACCATCCATCAGATTGATATAATGTCCCTTGTTCATACTTGATACAAAACGCAACCTGTCATAACCGGTGTTTCAATTTGGTTAGCCTGCGCGTCACTATTCGCACTCGTATTGTCTCTTTGATTCTTACCTTTACCTGTCATTAGCTTGCTACTCATCTAACCCTCGTACAGTGTCGCTTTCAAAATTTGAATCCCAAATTCTACGTATCATTCGCTCGATGATTAGCCGCGCTTCCATCAGTAACATTCTGGTATCACAAATAAATAATCTCAATCTTCGTCGATCTAAATTTATCTCAAAAACCATATTTACACTCGGTTAGCATCGTATTTATAATTTCGTCCGCAACATTTCATTTGTCGTCCGTTAACGAGTCGTCATATCGTACAGCCCGCTGCGTTGAGCGTAGAAGTCATTAATATGAGTATAAATGCTAGAGTGAGCCAACGCACGGCCCTGACTTCGCCCGCTCTTGACTCGCTTGCATTGCGTGCCTGTCGCGGGCGCACTGAGTTTTAGTTCAGCGTAATGCGACTCTCCAATGTTTGTTAGGGTCCAAATAAAACCTTGTGGAACACTAACTAAGACTTTATTGTAATTTGTAAATCTACAATTATTTAAGACTCGACAGAGGCAATATCATGTCAGTTCTTCAATACAGTTGCCAGTGTTGTCATAGACAAAAATTATACAATATTTATAAAGGCGTTAATAAAGAACGCTACTTATGCGCAAAGTATTGTACAATTTTATACATGCGAAGGTTTGTACTTGTTTGTACGTGTTTTGTTTAATATTCTCCAGTGATTGGTGGTTTGGCTTAGCGCTCAAAAACTTTAGCACGTAACAACATATCACAACACGTAGAATAATATTTTTTCTCGTGCCCACAAAGTGAGGTCGGCAATATTTGAACTATCGTTAAAGGTTTTATGACAGCCCGCCAGCCTGACGTCAACACTTCTTAGGAATTGACACACAGATCCGGACCAGTTGTCTGTGGGTCACACAAATTTCTAATGGAGTGCGAACTTACGATCAACATTGACTCAACTAAGCTACCAAATCATCCGGAACAAATGTAGCACTTTATCAATTAAAATTACAAATTCTGCTTCTATGAGAATACATGCGTCTGAAAGCCGCGGATAAAAACTAGTGTCTAATAACTGGTCTTAGTCCGCCGTCGAATGTTGTATACGCTTAAACAAGTATAACAAATGTAAGTGTAAAGTTAATGAGATGGGAGTTGTTTTGTTTCTTTTAAATTGTTATATTTGCCACGTTATGTAATTAGCACACTTGATATTTGTATATACTGTGAACAACAGTTCAGTTTTCTAATTATTCCTTCGTGTAGTTTTAGACAAAACCTCTAATTCTCACTTAAAAAAATAAGTGAGAATTCTATGACCTTTTCAAGTTCGGCTTTCTAGGCTTCAAAAACTAGTTTTGAGGACGACTATTTTATTACTTTGTTGCAATGAAGCTGGTTATTTCTTGAAATATTCTTGATCTTAATTTTTTTAAACAATTCTCCACTGTCTACGACTGATGCACTACCTACGACTTCATCTCGGCTTCCCATTAATTTTCTTTAATCCATATAGACTTGTTAACCTATTTCATAGCACACCATTATTAGCAGAATATTATTGTGTTGGCAACATTAAAATAAGTTGTTCCTCGAGGTTGTTGGCAACACTAAAAGAAGATTCATTCTATGGAGTATAAATGTAGCTGCACGAAGCGTTTCATGGTCTTCTTCTTCGGCTGTCAACAAGAAGTATACGCGATAGTGCTGCCCAATCAGTATCACAGATTAAAAAGTTACGAGTTGTGTTTCTTCATACTAAAAGTAATAAAATAAGTAATTATACCAGTGTTATTGTTGCAAAGTTAAAGTACGGTGGTTTGGTAAAAGTATTTCTACCTTCTTAGCTCGATAAGACAAAGTAAAGCTTACAATTATGAATGTCAAAATGTACCAATGGATCAAATATTTCTACTCAACCGACACATGAGAGCCACGAAGAGATAAAACTAGTATTAATTGCAGTAGCCAGAGATGTCCAATGGTAAATCTAGTGGGATAGTAGCCGAACAGTGATTTGAAGTTGGTAATAATATTTAAATAGCTTGTAATTACAATTTATATAGCGCGTATGTCTTGTTATATTCTCGCGCCATAAAAAAACGGATCATGTCGATTATGTTTGATGAGGACCTTTTACATTGTCGTGAAACCTTTTACTTTCTCTCTATTCTCTTTGCAGACTACACTAGTAGTTGTACTATAGACTACTATAGACTACTATAGACTACTATAGTAGTTGTAGAATGTTATAAAAAGGACTAACCCCAATCGACTGTCAACACAGCGCTAGCTGATGTTGTTTTGTGGATGGATAGTAATAATTTGACTGTAAACACATAAAGAGCAAATTTATTCAATTTAATTCCTATGTTCTCCAGTTTTACTCGACTATATGCAAAAAAAGTAATAAAATAGATGGAGTTGATGTACCTACAGAATTTTTTCTACAAATTATAATGTCTAAAGTGCAAGAGATTCGCACAAAAAAAAATTAATTTCATATAACAATGGCTACATCTTTCGTTCGAATTATGGTCGTAAAACGATATTTCAAATTGTTTGTATTCTGTAAAGCGTGTAACAATAGATGCGCCAAACATTGATTAAAGTGCAAAAAAACCGATTCCCGCGACGAACTTTTCGGTTTTTTTTAACATATTTTAATATTTATAAGTAATCATAAGTGCAGAGATTAGCATTATAAAAATTTAAATAGCAAATCGCTTGGCCTTTACGTAGACAAACACTTGTACAAGTAAAATTGAAAAAAACACGTGGAACGGGTGTGCCTAAAACTGAAACGTTACGTTTTTGTATTGAAAAAACTCAAGCAATCTATTTCGCTAACTGCTTACTATATAAATGTTTGCTCTGTTTTCGGCTATAGGTTAATATTGTGGAGAAATTCAGTCGACATGGATACGGTCTTCAAAATCTAAAAGCGGTATTTTCGTGTCATTAACAAGACCTGTTTTTTGAATACATGAAAGAAAATTTTTAAATCATGCAACTTGCATTTACATTAAGGCTACATGTTTATTTACCGACGCTCATCCAGAATACCTCAGAAAACATAATAAGATCCTCTCGTCGACAAAAAAGATGTTTACCTATTACACCAACCTCCTTGCTACAAAGTGGTTTATAAGAAAAACATTAATTGTATGTGTACATTTATTTGTAATAAATCACCTAATACTCTTAAAGTTTTAGAAGGGAATAGCTTTAACAATTATGTGACTGGCTATTAGTCAAATGTTTATAGTGTCACGGAGTATTTCAGCAAATATAAATGTTTACTATTTGGACGCTTGCTTTGCAGACTAAATGCACTACGTAATCTACAAGATACTATAATGAAACTGTATGTCCTTGTATTGTACTCTTGCATATAAAGTATTGATTTGATTTGATTTTTTTAATGTAAGATGGCAAGCGAGTTGGCGGCTCACCTAATGTTAAGTGTTAACCACCACCCATGCACATTTGCAACACCCTAAGGTTCCCGGGCACGCAGAAACGCAGAAGTTTAACACTTCCACCTCACGCCGATCTTCTCTGAAGTTGCGGTGGTTTCCCCGGACGGAGCTGCCAATTCGTGCAACAGCGAAGACTGCTGCGTAGCCCCCACCACAGTGGAAATTTAAAAAAGTCAAATATCTAGTCCAGCTCGTCGTCTGATAAGCCGTTGCATCATTTGCGTCTGTTGCAGAGGTGTCGATGGACGTCGGCCGGGCGTTCTGCCCCCGCGCCGGATGCGACACCATCGTGTCCGTACGCGCAGCGAGCCCAGCCCACTGTCCCACCTGCCGCCACGAGTTCTGCTCGCAGTGCAACCAAGAGGTGAGTCGTTTACACACTTTGGCGCGTTAGAAGAACTGTCTCGTTAAAGTAACATTTAACGAGACAGTCAGCTACTTACACATTACAAGTTAGATGTACTACTGTAATGAGGCAGTCGGACTCTTACACACCATCATTTCACAGACCTGGTACATCATCGCTATCATAATTGCGCGTTTACTTTCAGGGAGTCAGTCTGCTACTTACACATTACAAGTTATATTTACTGCTGTAATGAGACAGTCGGACTCTTACACGCCATCATTTGTTTGTGATGTAGTTCATATTTGGTAGACTTCTAAGTTAGCTTGTTTTACTTATGCATTACGTAGCCATCGAGATTTTGAATGGTCGATTTAAACTAGATGAAACGAATTGTTACTTGATCGCATCACATATACGGTACAGCGGTGAGTCGATGTCAAACTGCCATCCTTTAACGATCCAGATTTATTCTGACACAGTTAAAACTGAAATCACCTACTAATTGATATTATACGTTGTGATTGAAATTCAATATGATTCGTGCAGCTAGTTGTGAACACGCAAACAGACGGTCACGACCGGTTTGGGAGATCGATTTGTACTCTAACGAACAGCCACAAGGACTATTAAGCGATAGAGCAAGATAGATTTAGAAAATCGATCAGTTAATTATACATACCTAATCATTCTTTAAAGTTCAAGACTGACTAAGCTATTTAAAATTCAGAAATAAGTTACTTAATGCAAAATACTAAACACTCATCAACTATACTAGATTGTCTTGGAGAGAAAGTGGTCCAAAAGATTGCCGGTGAGTTCTTTTTTTAATTGGCTAGATTGCGCTGAACCATAACTAGAGCGATTTTTGACCCTCTACTGTGTTCTCTATTCTCTATTTATTAACATCATATGTCTTAATCAGTATCATTATACTATTATATTATTTCTATTAAAAAGACATCCAAGTATTTGTATTTTATCGAAGCGAACTACGTCAAATCAAGGCTTGTACCTTATTTACAGTTTATTTTGAAGCACAAGATAGGTACTAAGTTGTCAACTATCATAATTATATTGTATTGATTAATAAAATAGATCTAACTGTATTTATTATACTCAATGAACGCAAATAAAACATTGTTTTGCGTACACCGATTATGACAGATCCTGTACAGTGCAATTGATACCTGGCAGCAGCTAATAAAACTATAATCGATTCTTGTGGAATCTGTTCATTCCAGGAGCTCTGAGTAGATGAAGCTTTCATAATTAACAGACCGTAAACGAAAAAAGCCGTCATAGCTCAGTGTCCGGGCGCTCGCCTTTAATTCAATACACTTGAGCAACGTGAGTTCGATCCACGGTGCCGGCACAAATGAAATTCTTAATTTTAAATGCTGACTTATCACGTGCTCAGCGTTGAAAGAAGCATCGTGAGGAAACCTGTTTCAAAATATTAACAAAAAACAAACCTTTGCCAAGCTGTGGGATATGTACAGGCACAGTTTACTTTATTAAAACGAAAACATCCTTACTAATATTATTAACGCGAAAGTTTGTATGTATGGATGGATGTTTGTTACTCTTTCACGCAAATACTACTGAATAGATTTTAATGAAACTTTATAATTATAAAGCTTATACATCAGAATAACACATAGGCTATAATTTATAAAGATATTGTGTAAATTGTCCAAAATATAGGTAATGGTAAGTGTCAACTAAGTAGGACAAAGCCATCTGCGAAATATTATGGTGTATAATAAAAAACTCATTGTTAATTCCCTCTGAGCGCTCGGGCGAAGCCGCGGTTAACAGCTAGTTCAATAAAGATAACTATACGATTTTCAACAAAAGATAACAATTATTCACACTTATATATTTCATAGAGCATTCTAATAATATTATAGATATATATTCAGCTTATATAAATATTCTGATTTTTAATTAGACTATAATGAACATTCTGAATTGAAATCATTGTGCTGCTAATTCAATCGCGGCCTGTTACTTTGGAGCAGGTCAGATTTAAGGTCACTGACGACGGTTTCTCTCGTAATAAATTACTTTATTCTGTTATGAGAAAACAAACAACCTTCGCTAGAGCGTAAAGGTCAAAGGGCTGTGTTGCCAAAATAGCTTTGCGTAAGTAATCTATTTTATTTGGGATCTCATTTTACTTGCAAAATTAATTTGAAATTTCTCATACTATAAATAACAGCGTTTGTTTATTTCAAATCGTCTCATTAAACTAATTGTGATATTTACTAAAGAAATCTGCATTGGTGTTAAGTTTAAGTGGTTTAATTTACATGAATAAAGATTTTCACTGTTCTTTACTGTTATTTTCTTTTTCAATTTTCTTTTTATATTTATTAACTTTTGTTGTAATTTTGGATTTTGTAACAAGAAACTTTTTTTTAAACTGTATTTTTTCCACCCATTATATTGCATGCTGCTAGCGCCTTTAATTGTAATGACACTAACAAATAGTTGATGTATACTTAATTTCTTTAGTCTTAAATAGTGTACATTATGTTGGCGTTCTTTAAATAAATAAATAAATAAATAGTTTCAGGGTTGAACAATAAGTTTTAACGGTATTCTGGCCAACGTTGCTCGACACTTGATGCTCTTTTAATTCCCTACCATAGTGCCACTCTAAATAGCCATTGTTATACCTGATGCTATAGACCTGAAGCAAAGGTTTTCGACATTTTGCAATCCGACGCACAGGTCGAGGGATGTAAAGTTATAAAGGAAAGAGTCATATATGTCTGCATTTTTCTAGTCCACGTAGAGCTTTGTCTAGTAGTAGGGCTGCTTCTTCTGCATTGTCTGTGCAAACTGGAAAGTGCACTTCGTTCGGATGATAACGGTGCGAGCACGGAATGCTTTGTAGGGAAACCATCTTCTTAAGTCGTTTGCGGATAATACGGTACATCCCTGAGGCATGAAATATCACATAAATCATTAATTCCGTCATTCGATACATTTGATATGAAACCGGCGGATGTAACTCCAACTGCAAATTATTACAGAAAATTACACACAACTATTAACTCCTTAGGTTTGTCTGTTTTACAAACATTAAAGTCACGGACACAAATTTCACCCGGACTGGGACGAAGAATTTATGAAGCACCCACATTTCTGTCCCGTGCGAAGATCGCATTCCCTTCACGACGGTATATTAATAGCATTTGGCTAAATATCCAACTAAACCATTGTAATATCCATGCACACTGCAACCGATGTTATCTGTTCATTCGCACATCTCCTTTCCTTCAAATACCGTCAACCTCGCTTACTTCACCTTTATAATACTCTCAAAACGTCTAATAATTTATAACAAAAATGCGTGAAATATATACATAAAGACATGAAATCTCATCGAAAAAGAAGTAATATTAATAAAAACTTTAAACTCGTAAACGTAAAACTTACCTAATATTATGATGTCCTGGTTCCATGGATATAAGTATGAACCCTACCGTACCTTTGTAAACTATGTCGGTGCAACTGGGTCGAGGTGGGCACACAATGGCGGCGTGTGTTATGCTCCCGAATTCGAGTGACTCTTTGCAAATGCCCTACAGCCTCGTGCCCCATATGCGCCCAGTGTATTACGCCTAGTACACCATAATTTTATAGCGTACTTTAATAATAATGACAAACTTCTGGGCGACAATGATGGAAAGGTCTCGATTCGAATTTTCGTTATAATTAATCTTACTAATTGATTATAATGTTTATTTACAAAGTAAAATGCTGTACACTATTTTAAAATGTGCTTGCTTACTTTTGTATCTACCTGTATTTCATTTTATTTATAAAATTATATGAAATGTATCATTTAGATTATGAAACAAATAAAAAAGTAAGTTCGCCATTACAAAGACATTGTGTGAGATAAGAATGGTCCGAGTTGCGAAAAATAAATTCGGCTGAATCACAGATTAACACAAAACCTTCAATAAAGGGTTTTAAAACATCAGTGAAAAATCGTTTAACGACAATTTTTTGCTTCTCGTGAAAGCTTACCTGTATAATTTGTTTTCTAATTACCGGATAGTGACAAATTAAAACGCGTCAGTAGTAACACAATTTGTTAATTATCAGATACGCAAAAATCAAGGTTGAAAATTCAGTCATTCGAAATCAACTGGTTTTTTTTACATCAATTAACCCGACTAGCGATTTAATTAATACGATCGACACGCAATGTATTCGATAGAAGCGATAAAAAACTAGTTGAAAAGCTACCCTCTGTGAGCCAACCCGTCCAGATTTTGTCTACAAAGGCCAGCAAATATTATGACTAATTAATTTATTGCTTTTCCCCTTAAAAGTTTCCATTGCGCTAAAATGTTTCAGGCTCATTATTTTAACTCCAAATGATATTTTTTTGTGAATTTCTTATCGCTCTTATCTTTCTTTTTAGACGGATACAGGCTGATTAATAGGTATTGGAACTTAATATTTTACTATCTTCCTCTTCTTTAGAGGTAGGTAGTCTCTGAATGATTTTATCTTTAGGAGAATAGTAAACACCCCCATTACGCCACGTGAGCTTTACTTTATGTTATAGTTATTATATTATCTTCTGTTAGAGGTCATTAAATCAAATCAAATAATTTATTCATCGAAATAAGAAATATATATTTCATTTATCAATAGTCATTTTTTTTAAATCTACCACCGTTTCGTTATGAGGTTCCTTTAATGGAGAAGAAACAGGCGAAAGAAACTCCGTAGGTGTCCTGTTTTTTGTCATTCTTTTTTTCAAACAATTACATTGTTATACAGAACATAATATTTTTTTTATATACAGCTCAGGATCGATCATCTCATTCCCAGGGGTTGTTATCGTTAATGTATTCATTTATATTGTAATAACCCTTTTTAAAAAGTTTATGTAAGTTTTTCTTTAATAAATTTCTTAAACCTATTAACAGAGAAGCTTTGCACATTAACTGGGATTTTGTTGTATAAGCTTATACACCGTCCCATGA